AGGGACCCAGTAACATGGGGTGGGGCTGGGGGTGGCCTCCTCTGGAGCAGCCATTAGCTCTTGTTTTAGTCCAGCATCCGGCTCTGTCGAGGGCCTCCCATCCTCGTTTGGATGGAGGTGGCAGCAAAATCAGGAAGCTGACCTGAGGCCTTGGTGCCCTTCTGCCTTGCAAGCTCGCCATGCTCCTGCGGCATCCTTAGTTCCAGAAGAGACCAGGGGTGGGCGGCCTAACCTAACCCCGACCGGCCAGTGTTCCTTGCCATTGTCCACATTCAGTGAAGCGCGAGCTGAGATTCACCCAGGTGGCCCATTTCTGTGGCAGAGCAAGAGAAAGTAGAAGCGATTCTGGGCAGCGCTGTTACCGCCTGATGGCCTCAAATTCTAGGGTCTGCTCTACTAAGAAAGGTTAATTCTGACTAATTGGGAGCTTTCAGAATTTACCTGGATCTGCGGAGTTTATTCTGCTGCTGCTCTTTTTACTCATGATTTATGGCAGTCACACTAATCTTGGGGAGTGGCAAGTAACTATGCAGAATACTGGAGCTCCACACCCAAGGCCTCTGGAAGATGTAATTAACTCTCTCTCTCTCTTTCTCTCCCACACACGAATGCACACCTGTCTCATTTACCTGCTTATGCATTTCAGCGTTCTTCCCTGACTTTCCATCTTCCCCCGCTTCCATGTTCCATACGTTCATACATTCAGGGTGCACCAAAAGTCAGGCCCTCTAGACAACATGCGATACGAATTACATTAAATGCCCCAATTGGTTGCCATTTTCTTCTAAACACTCCCTTAACGCCTAAGTACAGTCATGTTTTCTCTCAAAACGTTAAAATTAGTAAAACGTTGGGGCCTGATTGGTGGTACCCCCTGCAATCAACCATCAGTCGATCAAATCCCTCCTTAGGCACGAAACCAGCGAGATGACCTGGGCTTCTCTCAGCCCTGAAAAGGAGCAGGCAAGGAAAGCTCCTTCTGAAAAATACCGCCAAGAAAATTGCCAAGCCCTGGTCCGGGCAGTTGTCAGGAATCAAGACTGACACAAAGGTGCGTGGGCACATGCATGCGCGCACACACATAGACACACAGAGCCCTGTTTAGAACAGGGCTTTCTAAATAGAGCCCCCCCAAACCCCCGACTCTTTTCTTAAACTCTCTCCCTAAAGCAGAGTCCCTGAATCTTTACGGGTTGGCAGCGTGGGGGGGGGGGCAGGGGAGAGGGAGGAAAGAGGGGATGATTTTGAATTCAACACCCAGAATTCTCCAGCCCATCTTGAATTCCACGGATTCTTCCCTACCGCTAACTTGCTTTGAGCGTTAATAGTTTAGATCAGGGATCTCCAACCTTTAAGCCTGGGGGACTTCAACTCTCAGCTGGCTGGGGAATTCTGGGAGTTGAAGTCCTCCAAGCTTAAAGGTGCCAAGGTTGGAGACCCCTGCTCTAGAGCACGGCTGGCTGGGGAATTCTGGGAGTTGAAGTTCACGGATTGTAAAAGGGCTCCAGTTCCCCACCCTGCTCTGGAGAGTTGGGGCCAAGAGGAGCCCCCCCAGCCCTCCTGATAAGGCCAAGAAAGGCCTTCCCAGTTCCCCGTTCCCCATGGATGCTTCGGGCCTGCAACGGGCCAGGAGAAGTTGGTACCCATTGCAGATTAGGTGCTACAGATGTTGGGCCATCCAAATGTGTTATTGGTTAGCAGCCACGTGGCCTCGGGTTGGATCAGCTGAAGCTCTTGGACACCCCCCACACCCCCACTTGGCTCCTGATTCTACTTTGGGCAGCCCCCCGTTTTCACAACAAGGCAATCAAACGAGTGAGGCTGGTTAGTGGGGTGTGCAGCGTTTTGTGTAACCCGTCACAAAGCTGTTTCTCTCTTCAGAGGCCGTTAAGAGACCTTGCTAGCATTTTCCAGACCACGATTCTTAGTCTACGTTTATTCATCTATAACTTTGGAAAGAAAACCTAAACTTTCTCAGGGGAAAATCAGAACGAAATGGAGTTTTCAAATTGAATGTTAGCGTTCTGGTGCAAAATAAATGCTGCGTCCACCAGTTCTGTTCTTGTTAAGTATTCCAGGCTGAGAAACATAAACAGACAAAGAAAGAAAGAAAAATGCACTTGAAATGAGAAAAAAAACAAATGGGAAAGAGGCAGGGCACTTTGGCAAGGAAAGGAGCTGCTCTTGGCAGATTCCGTGGTGGAATTTAGCTGAGAGAGGCACCGACGGAGAAGCCCTGTGGGAGGAGCACCGACTGCGCTCCCTCCCTCGCTTGCCCTGGCTGGGTCGGAAGCTCAGCTTGCAAACCGTGGCTGGAAGGGAGGAGGGGTTGCTTTGGGCCCCCAGCTTTGGGCCGAGCAGGCCACCAGCCATGCTCAAAAGGCCCAGCCAGGTACGCCAGGAGACTGTGTTGTCCGCGTGGACATCCAAGATGTGGGGCCAGAATGAGGCTCAGGAGGTCAGTTCCTAAAGTTTTGGGAAAGGACAAACAGTTCAGCATTTGTGCAGCAGAGAAGGGAGGCGGTTGGTCCTGAGGGAAGAGACACGGCTGACCCCCTTCTTTCCCTTGGGGAAAGCAGACCTGAACTGATGCCTTGGGCTTTCTAATCCAGAGGAAGAGGCTTGTCCAGAGCGGTCACCAAGATGCCCGTGCACCACCACGAGAGAAAGGCGTTTTCCCCTTTGGTGTCGGTCCTGGACAGCAGTGACTGGGCAGACTTCGCCTGGCCAGTGGCCGATGATGCGCCCTTCGCCTCCACACACGCGCCCCCCCTTCAGTCACATTGGCGTACGCTGGTGCAATCCTCTGCTTGCCTTGGGTGGATAAAGGGCACCCCGACTCCCTCTGACTTGTGTGCTGCCTTTTGTCGAGTCGCCAGCTCTCACCACCTTCTCTTTTGGTGATGGTTCCACATCACCCTGTTAAGCAGTAAGGGGGAGCTGTCTTTCTCTCCCCCCACCCCCACCCCCACCGGGCCGAGAGCCTCCTCCGCTCTCTTCTTAAAATGCTTTCCCCTTTCAACCTATTTGAATCTTCTCCGGCTCTTGGCTGGACAAAGTGAGCACCTTCAAATAATGCACCTTCCTTAATTCTCCAAAATCAAAAGTTAGTGATCGCACATCCAAGTTAGAGCCCTTGAAAATCAAAGGAGTCAAAAATGCCCCTTTTCGCTCAACAGTCTCTCCCTTAGAAAGGACGTTAGGCAGATGCTTTCGTTCCCTCTCAAGCAACTGGACCTTTGTAGTTTTTCTTCCTCTCCCTGCCACTCAAAGGGGAGAATGAAGAGCCAAGGATCGGTCTTGCCAGTTGCCCAGCTGAGGCGGGAGAAATTTAACGTTTCCCCAGCCCTGTTCACGGCTGAGGGACCTGAACTCTTATTTCCCTCACACAGCCATTTTCTTCACCCTTTTGGCCTTAAGTCCAAAGTGTCTGGCTCAGGTTCGTGTCGTGCCAGAAGATCGGATTGAACCTTGGCCTTTAAGAAGGCTCGAGGCCGGGTTTGACCAGCCTGCTAAGACAGGGATCTCCAACCATGGCCACTTTAAGATTTGTGGACTTCAACTCCCAGAGTTCCTCAGCCAGTTGAAGTCCACAAGTCTTAAAGTGGCCACGGTTGGACACCCCTGGTCTGCTGGCTGAGGAATTCTGGGAGTTGAAGTCCACAAGTCTTAAAGTGGCCAAGGTTGGAGACCCCTGTGCTCAGAAAGAAAGGGAGACTCAGATCAGGCTTCAGGCTAGCGAAGATGGTCAGAGAAGGAAGGCTCAGGCTGCCGCAGGTGGATGGTGGCTTCCATTTTCATCCTAAGTTCTCACTCCTGGGTAGAAAAGAACATGGCGGTGATGCAGATACGGAGTCCCCATTAAAGATCTGTTGACGGACAGAACTGAGGGCGAGCTTCCATCTTCAGCCAGTCTTTAATGGGACTGGACTCTCAACTGAGTTTTCCCTTTTCCCAAACATACTGAGCCATTTTGGTCTAGTGGTTAAGGCACCGGGCTAGAGAGCGGGAGATGGTGAGAGCCAGTTGCTGTCTCTCAGCCCAGCCTACCTCACAGGGTTGCTGTTGGGAGAGGGAAATAAGAAGAGGAAGGTATGTGGGGATGTGTTAACTACCTTGAGTTATTGGTAAAATTAGTAAAGGTGGGATGCAAATAAATAAAAATGCAGCACTTGGGAGTACAAATATAGTATAGCCTGTGCTTTGATGCTATCCTTGTATGTAACCAGTATAGTGTATGTCAGGGGTCTCCAACCTTGGCAACTTTAAGCCTGGAAGACTTCAACTCAAGTTAGAAACAGCCCCCCAAAGTCACATTCTCCAATAGAAGTAATTCAACGTTGCTTGATGTCATAAATCAAGGCGCCTAAGCACGGACAGTCCCACAGAAAGAAGAATCACCTAGCCAAAACAACTCTCTCTATCTTAACTCCCCACTCCTTAGGCATGTGGCAAGCCTGAAGCCCTTCCCCCCCGTGACTGCCGCAGAGAAAGTAAGAAAAAGAATATATGCTAAGCCTAACTAAAATGGCTACACATATGTCAATTTTGGGCTTGACAGGCTGCCCTCATTTGAAAAGAAACCCCTGCAATGACATAAAAATATACAAAAATGGCAATTAGGTTAAACACAATCATACAATGCACATTTTAACCTCCTCTGCCACCCACAGAATTCGGTTTAGACTTGTGTGGATATTTTTCATGAAATTTCCCCACCAATCTTATCAGCATTTACTTTCCAGCTATTAACCCAAGTGGCTTGTGAAATTGGATAGCCTTTCCAATAAATTAAATATTGTAACGTCCCCCTAAAAATCCTAGAATCCAAAATTTTCTTAAGCTCATAATGTTCATGCCCTGCTTTGCTGGCTGGGGAATTCTGGGAGTTGAAGTCCTCCAGGCTTAAAGTTGCCACGGTTGGAGACCTCTGGTGTATGTCATACGAAGCACATTCCATTCTGATTTCTTTCTCTTTTTTTCCCCATTTTTTTCCCCAGGTTCGTGTCCGGCACAGGGCTGGTGATTTACCCAGAAATTGGGGACAAGCTGGATATCATCTGTCCGAAGGCGGATCCATCCAAACCGTATGAATATTACAAACTGTACCTAGTAAAGCGGGACCAAGCGGAGTTCTGCAGCACCATCATGGACCCAAATGTGTTGGTGACCTGCAACAGGCCCGAGCTGGAAATCCGTTTTACCATCAAATTCCAGGAGTTCAGCCCCAACTACATGGGCTTGGAGTTCAAAAGATACCAGGATTACTTTATCACATGTGAGTGCCATCCACCTCGCCCCCCCCCCCCCAGTCTTCCTCTCCCTTGATCTTCGCTTTCTCTCCCAGGCTCCCCTGGAGAGTCTCCCAGTCACAGTCCCCTAAACTGCGCTGAAGACGTTATCTAGCCTGGTAACGAGACGTTTGGGGACCATCCTGCAAGCTCGGAGAATGAACCTTCACCCTCCTCTCACAATCACTCTTTCTCCTCCCCGTTCCTCCTTCCCCTCATTTCCACCCAGGGAACCACTTTCCACCACATTGTTCAGTTCAGTGGTGGGATTCAAATGTTTTTACTATGGGTTCTGTGGGTGTGGTGTGGCTTGGTGGGCGCGGCAGAGGATCTGCTAACCTGCTTTCCAGCTCCGTTCTCCTGTGCAGGGCAACCAAAGGAGATCCAGCCGATTAGTTGAGACTCGACGGGAGGCAGAGAAGAGATGGGATTGGCGGGGCCAGTCAGAGGCGGGATTTGCCAGGTCTCCAAACTACTCAAACTTTCCGCTATCGGTTCTCCAGAACCGGCCCAATGCCACCTCTGGTTCAGTTGCAGTTTGTTAAATGCCCCTTGGAGCCATCTTGTTACCTGTGCGTCTTTTGAGAAAATTCTGAACTGAAAATAACCTCTGTGCTGGATGCCCAAGGGGAGGGAAGGGTGAAGATTCCTCAGCTGCCTGATTCTCTGCGGGCGAGCCAAGCGTCCCGCTGGCCGAGCACAAGGGTAACATTTGCCTGGGCAGGTGGCACATCCAGGAGCAGGCGCCAGGGTTAATTCTGGAAAATTCTGGTCCTTTCTGGATTTGCTACGTGAAAGTCTCAGGAATTAGTCTGAAGGGAGGCAGGAGAGAAAGCCAAGAGTCCGTTGGTTGAGTGCTGGGAAGCGTCTCTGATGATTTTGATCCAGGGATTGAAACCAAAACGAGCTTCCGGTTAGAAGTCCTCTCCACACACTATTGGTGATTGCTTCGATTGGCCCCTGTAGGGTTTCTCCCAAGCGCCGTCCTGCATGAACTGTGGCTGCGGAGCCTCTGGGGCTCTGGGAGAATCCAGCGGGTCCCTTGGCTTGTTGATTGGGACATCTCTGGGAAGGGCATTTTTTCAGTCTGGGAGGGGCTAGACCACCAACCTGCTGTGGTGAAGCCCAGAGGCTTCAGAGCTGCTCAGAGTCACTGGCACGGCAGCTGGCATGGGGTATGCTGCTTGTTCCTCCTCTGGGGCCCCATCTCCATGGCAGAGGTGACAGACCTGCCCGAGATCAGCTGGGGTGCCTTCACCTCTACAACAGCCTCCGCCCTCCATTCCCCGAGAGGATACACCTCTTCCCTACCTTCCCATATCAAGGGCGTTTTGACAAGAGGAAGAGCTGCAGCCAGGAGTATGGGTAGCCCTTGACTTGCAACCGAGCCCAAAATTTCTGGTGTTAAGTGAGACATTTGTTAAGTGAGCTTTGCCCCATTTTGTGACCTTTCCTGCCACAGTTATTAAGTGAATCACTGCATTTGTTAAGTTAGTAACCCAGTTGTGAAGTGAATCTGGCTTCCCCATTGACTTTGCTTGTCAAAAGGTCGCAAAAGGGGATCATGTGACCCCTGGGACACTGCAACTGACGTAAGTACATGCCAGTTGCCAAGCATATGAATTTTGATCACATGACCATGGGGATGCTGCAGTGTTCACAAGTGTAAAAAACGGCCATACGTCCCTTTTTTCAGTGCCGCTGTAACTTAGAACGGTCACTAAATGAACTGTGGTAAGTCAAGCACTGCCAATATCTCCATCCACAGAGGGAGGGGGGCAAGGGGAGTTTTTGAGAAGGACCCTCCCTGGTTTCCCAGGGAATAAGGGGAGAAACTCTCCCAGTCTTCCAAGATTCAGTAAATAAAGATAAGAGTTAGTACTCATAGTTATGCTTCATGTCTGGACTACCTCAAAGAGCTAATGTAATTATTTGTGGGCCTGTTTAGTTAAATACACTATTATCATTTAGCACGGGAGTCCCCAGCCAGCAATTCTGGGAGTTGAAGTCCAAAAATCTTAAACTGGCCAAGTTGGGATTCTGGGAGTTGAAGTCCACAAGACTTAAAGTGGCCAAGTTTAGGATTCTGGGAGTTGAAGTCCCCAAGTCTTAAAATGGCCAAGTTTGGGATTCTGGGAGTTGAAGTCCACAAATCTTAAAGTGGCCAAGTTTGGGATTCTGGGAGTTGAAGTCCACAAATCTTAAAGTGGCTAAGTTTGGGATTCTGGGAGTTGAAGTCCCCAAGTCTTAAAGTGGCCAAGTTTAGGATTCTGGGAGTTGAAGTCCACAAGTCTTAAAGTGGCCAAGTTGGGATTCTGGGAATTGAAGTCCACAAGTCTTAAAGTGGCCAAGTTTGGGATTCTGGGAGTTGAAGTCCACAAGTCTTATAGTGGCCAAGTTTGGGATTCTGGGAGTTGAAGTCCACAAGTCTTAAAGTGGCCAAATTTGGAGACCTCTGATTTAGCGTAACAGTAACAGGTACTAGTTCAGGCTGCAGTGAAGGCAGGTAAACTGAGCCTCAGAGTAGGAAAGTCACCTTTGACACCTGCTGGCTCCCAACTTCTCTTTCTAACATCCTGTTTGTGTTATTTGTCAAGTGCTGAAGTTGGTGGGGGATGCAGCCTGAAAAGGAGGCATTGATTGATGGGCTCTCCTGTGGCTGGCGTTAGGAGGGCCTCTAATGACATGTGGCAAGTCGGATCCCTTTAGGCCCGAGTCTTTGTTCAGCCCCTGGCATTGCGGGCCTGTTCGCAGGGCAGGCAACATTCGGCCCTGCTTATCTTTCCTCCCAGTGAACTTCTCCCGTTTCACTGATTTGGGAAAAGGAATCAAGTCTGGTTTCTGCCACATCTGCTTTTTATATAGCCATGGAGGACACAGGGAGTGCTTGTAAGCAGGGCGCTGGATGCCAACAGGGTTTCTTTCCTATTGTCTTCGGGACCGGCCCTGTCTAGATTGTTCCAGAATACCAGCCTGGCTCTGGGCTTCTTTCGTTCGTTTCCACTCTCCAAATTCACTAAATGGACATCTGTCAACGGGCTTGTTTAGCTTGAAGAATCGAAAGTGGCAAGAGAGCGAAGAAGGACCACGTACAGCTTTTAGATAATTATACAGCCATGGGCCAGAATTTCCTTCCAGGCTGTCCCTTAGTCCCGCTGTGAACTTAAAGGGTGCGAGGAGATTGGAAGCAGATGCCAGTTTGGCCCTGCCACCTCTTACGATTCGGAGAGCTAGGATTTTTCCGCTCTATGAAGTCCTCAGTTCTTGGTCTCTAGAAGGATCCATTCCTTTGCTGCCCTCTTGGTCCAGTTCAAAGGGCTTCTGGAATAACAGAGGAGTCCCTGAGGCACGTGAGCAGAGGTTGGCAGAACCAGAAAGAGGGGGGAAAGGTGTATGGTGAGAACTGCTCTAGTCTGAACAGAGCTGACGGTCAATTCGTAGGGAAGGGAACGGGTTTTTATAACACAATTTATTATTCCGTGTTGTATTTCTCCTTTGATAGGAAGCAGTTTCCAAGTCTTTCCTGAAATGGGCTTTTAAGGCTTGAAGCTCAGGTCAAGTAAGACAGAAGAGCTTTGATGGGGAAAAGCAGCACTTAGGGTACCTATTTAAGATCATCATTATGAAGCATAAATGGCTGGAAGAGTCCTTGCAGGTAATCCAGCCTGACTCCCAGCTCAATGCAAGGACTTCAAACTTGGCAAATTTAAGACTTGTGGACTTCAACTCCCAGAATTCCTCTTCCAGTCATGTTAGCTTAGGAATTCTGGGAGTTGAAGTCCGCAAGTCTTAAATTTGCCAAGTTTGAAGACCCTTGCCTTAGTAGAACCTCATCAAAAATGTCCATCCAGCCTTGGTTTCAACATCTCCAGCAAAGGCAGATCAGATTTTCTGAGACAGTTCTTACCATTTGGATTTTTGTTCCTGGTGTCCAGGCAAAAAACATGCTTTTGAAATATAAATTCATTGGGGTTCCTTTTTTTTGGTCTTCTGATACAATTTTGAGCAATTCTATCCTTCTACATGTCAGCTCATCAGATGCTTGAAGACAGTTGTCGTGTGCTCCCCACAAACTTCTCCACTTTACACAGATAGAATGAATATATATTATATAGAATGAATATATATATATTAACAACTTATTCCTTAGATGTTTTTCCTTCCTTAAATTCCTGGGTTCCTTTTTTCTGGACATGATCCAGATGTCAGGGTCCTAAAAATGAGGCGTCCATAATGAAATACAATATATGAGGTGTGCTCTGGCCAAAGCAGGTGAGGGAGAACCAAGGATTTTTCTTCATCTCAATACAGTCTTCGAGATATAACGCTTCACTTAATGGCCGTTCAAAGCTATGACAGACTCCCCCCCCCTCAAAAAAAACCCTATATACAACCATGTTTCAAAGCTCCGTGTCAAACACAAGAAACCAGGAACCACAGTTGTTCAAATGAGTGCAAGATTATACCACACGTCGCTCCACAAGAATCTACACCGGGGGTCTCCAACCTTGGTCCCTTTAAGCCTGGAGGACTTCAACTCCCAGCTTTGCTGGCTGGGGAATTCTGGGAGTTGAAGTCCACCAGGCTTAAAGGGACCAAGGTTGCCCCTGATCTAAACTATTAACGCTCAAAGCAAATTAGCGGTAGGTAAGAATCCGTGGGATTCAAGGTGGGCTGGACTTAGATCCCTTGGGAGCACGAAGCGCCTCCCAGTGGCTGACGACCCCCTTCCTCAGCAGGGTCCTCTCCTCCATTGTGGCTGCTGCACCGGCCCCCGTTTCCCCAAAGGCTGGCAAGAGCCAGGAGAGGCCTACAGCAGATTGGGGCAGAGGCCCCAGCCCACAAGGGTGGCTTCCTCCTTCTGCAAAAGTTTCCCCGTGGATGGATGGATGGATGGATGGTGGAGCTTCTTCCCTGGCATTTCCAAGCATCGGGGCTTCTCCCGGCCAAGCACGGAGGCTTCTTTGGAAGCTGCTTTGAACGTGGC